AATTCGTCGAAAAGAATGGCGGGACCCGGACTCGAACCGGGGACCTTTGGGTTAAAAGACTGACGCTCTACCAACTGAGCTAATGCGACACCCAGTTTTTGCAGCTCAAGTGGTAGAGCGCCCGATTCGTGACCTGAAAGTCCCGAGTTCAAGTCCACCATTTCGCGACATTTTTATATTTTTATTTGTACTTGGAAGTACACAAATGTCAGGCATTCCAAAATTCTTCCGAGGCATTAACGATGAGCAACTTGCTCATGGACTCATTAAGTTAACCATATTGCCCAGGGTAGTGAAATTTAGCCCGCCTGCGGCGCTGAGGGTAGTTATTGTGCCCGCGAAGGCCCAAAAGTAGTTATTTAGCCCGGGTAGTTATTGTTACCTATACGGTAGTATGAGCTTGAAAACAGATGATCGTCCATGGGCTTATTATCTCAAAAATGACTCATTCTTGCTAGTTGTGCAATGCGGAGCACACCCAAGATATCTTGAAACTTCATTTTTATTACGCTTTAGCCCATGGCTGTTACCAGTCAAACACTGACGCGAGGACGAGGTACACGTTGAGTCCGACGATGAACGCGCAGAGCGCGGCCGTGAGCAGCTGCATGGGCCACGCGCTTTTCCACTTGCCCATAATGTCTTCTCTGCCGGTAAACATGGCGAGGGGGATGAGGGCGAACGGAATGCAGAAACTCAGAACGACTTGGCTGAACACGAGCGCTTGGGTGGGGTCGGCGCCTGAGAAGATGATCATCATGGACGGAACCAAAGTCACGGCGCGGCGGATCCATACATTTACGTGGAAGTTGAGGAAGCCCGCCATGATCACCTGACCCGCGAGGGTACCCACCGCCGACGACGAGATGCCACTGGCCAGCAGTCCAATGGCAAATACATACGAAGACGCCTTGCCGAGCAGCGGTTCCAGCGTGATGTACGCGTTCTCGATCGAGTCTACCTGCGTGTACCCAGCAGTGTGGAAGGTCGATGCCGCCATGATCAGCATCGACATGTTGACTAGGCCAGCAATCCCCAGAGCGATCACAATGCCCACGACTTCGTACCGCAGCGGCGGAAAGATCACATCACCGTCGTCCGACACGACAAAGCGGCTCTGGGTGAGCGCCGAGTGGAGGTAGATCACATGGGGCATGACGGTGGCCCCGACAATGCCCACAGCGAGGACGAGGCTGTCCTTACCGTCGAAGCTCGGCACGAATGTGTTGTACGCCACCTCGGCCCACGGAATGCTCGGCTGCAGCGCAGTTTCCATGATGTAGCTCACGACGATCACAGACACCAAGATGAAGATGACAACTTCGAACGCTTGGATGCGGTGCTGGTGGACGTACAAAAGAACCAGGGTCATGCCGGCGGTGATGACCGCGCCCCACGCCAGCGAGATCGAAAACAGCAGTTTGAACGCGATCGCGGCCCCGATGAACTCGGCCACGTCGGTTGCAATCGCGGCCACTTCGGCCGCCAGCCACATGACCACGACGACCCACGGATGGAACTGCTCCGCGATCACTTCGGGGAGGTTCTTGCCCGTGGCGATGCCGAGCTTTGCCGACAGCGTCTGGAACAGCATCGCCATGAGATTAGCCAGCAAGATCACCCACAGCAATGTGAAGCCGTAGTTGGAGCCGGCTTGGATGTTGGTCGCAAAGTTACCTGGGTCCAGATATGCCACGGACGCGACGAACGCAGACCCGAGCGCAGGAAGGACCTTCTGGACAAACGAAGGCGGCGACGCAGGCATGTTGATCGCGCGCGTCGAGTCCACTTTTGTGTATTGGACGTCTTGGTTGTCCGGTGTGTTTACTGGGGAGTGGAGAGGGGACACCTCGGACGGCGCCGCCGCAGCCGTAGACTGTGTCATGTCACCTCCAGAATGACACCACAACGTCATTTTTTCTGGATATGTTCAGAAACACCTGTATAAATAAATAAGTCTGGTGAACTCCCACTCCAAAAGATATCGAAACAGGCTTTTTCGTCCAGTGTGCCTTTGGACGTACCAACAAGCAAGCCCACGGACGTACATGCTTCCTTGGTATATTTGTCCGTAGAATAGACCTGCTTTGATGGGCTTCCAGTACGCTTTGAGAGCTGTAAACCAATATCCTTTGAAACTTGATCTTTGCACATTTGGAAGAAAAATAATTCGAGATATACTATAGTTAACCTGGATTTGACTTTTACTTCACGAGTGATGTGGCCGCCATTGTGGTCATTTCCTTAACGTTATGTGCATATGCACTTCACAGACGCCCTTCACCTCTTCAAAGCTACCAGTTGCGAGGCCACAGAACTTACGGGATGATATCTGTGTCCAACTATGAAAACATCGTCATCAGACATTGTAATGCTGGCGCCTGCTCATTGGCTTACCGCAAATGTGTAACGTCTCCAGATAATTACCCAGACAATGCAAGTTCCGGATAATTAGCGTACAGTTACTTTGCCCCAGTCGGATAGCAAGTTCCGGATAATGTAACCGGTTCAGCAGTTACATTTCACCTCGCCAACTAGTCGACATGCCGCCGTCGGCCGGACTCCATGGACTCACGCACTTGTTGGCAGGCGACACCGAATGGCGCAACATCCAAACGATCGTAAAGACAACGTTGCAGGCTGTGGCCAAGATTGTGTCCAGTCATGCAGTCATGTTGGACACCATGGATGCCCGCATCGATCGGATGCAAGATGCGGCGTTCACGGCACTGGCGCCCCCACCTCACATCAGCAACAACGACGACGATGCGTCTATGGTCGTCTCGCGCAAGGAGTTTCTTGCATTAGTAGCAGACGTGCGCAAGTTGAAAAAGCGGTCCGTATCGCCGGACGACCTCGAGGCTCGAGCGGTGGCCAGTGGCAACGAGCTCAAGCGACGCCTCGACCACGCAATCACACCGTTACAAGACACAATTCGAGACATGGAAGAAGTCTTGCTAAAGCAGGTACTTACACAGCCAATTGTCCATAATTCCACATATGTATATATTTACGTTCATAAACGCAACGTTATATCTATTGGTTTGTAGTTCATGGCACATGCAAACTCTTCATTTGCGTCAAACGAAGCGTTGAGACACGTCCAAGACGACGTCACTGAGCGCTACGCCGCCAAAATGTCCAAGGTATGTTCATGTTGTAATGCTAGTGAACCTTAAGAAATGTCATGAACATGGTACAGATAGAACAGCATATGGCCACTAAAGGTGATCTGCACGCGTTGGAGCAACGAGTTATGACAGACACAAAGGCGCAACATCGAGCACAAGCTTTGCAAGTCAAAGACACGATAGGTCACTTGGAGAAAGGACTTCGAAAGCACTTGGCCGATCAACTGGCTGTCTCTCGCGATGACTTGACCAAATTCAAGGCACAACTGGATCAATCGTTGGCAGCTACGTCGGCAGAATGCCATGCTCAAGTGGTCTGTACTACAACAGAAACACAAACGTAGTTCTTTGACGTCACTAAAGCTAAAGTACGTAGAGGCAGCGTGCCATGGCGTCCGACGTGAAGGTCGTCTTGGCAGCAAAGGTTGACAGGGACGAGTTAGACTCGAGGGAGGTATGTGACGTTCTTGAGTGACAGGTTCTCTTTCATAGGTGTATGTATGAATCGAGTCCACAAGTGACTGTCGATCAAACGACTAAAATCAATTTGCTACTTGGAGTAGAAGCAAGTCGAGGACCGAGTGGGGGGTCGCCTGGATGGGGTGCTCCAGCAGGCGGTCATGGAGTGGAAACATGAAGTGGCGACAGCACTGCATAAAAAATGTTTCAAGGCCGATGTGGCCAAGCTCTTGGCGCGCAAAGTGAACCGAGGTATAACTATACCCTTGTTCAGACTGGTGTTTAATATATGGATGGTCAGAGGACGTCGACGCGGTGCTTGCCGACAAAATTACCCGCGCAGAGCTGCATGAATCGATACGAGATGCCATCACTTCTATGCAAATCGAATCCAAGCAAGAGCTGCGGCATGTGCAGCACGTATTAGAAGCAAAATTGCACGACCACGGCGACATGGTCACTCAACATATGCGAGATTTGGTACCGTGCTCTTGTTGGTCCATTGAATAATCATTTGTGGGCTGGGTGTAGCAGCATGAACATGTGCAGCATGCAGATGGATGGACAGAGGCGCTGGAAGACCTTCGGAGTAAAGTCGTGGTCAAGGTAAGTGGACTGGGACATCCCTGTTGTTGTATATATTCGAACTATCTTTTGATCGGAATATCAACTCAGATGGGCATCAAGGACGCGTGCACGCTATTGGACACCAAGTGCAACGTCGTCGACGTCAACGACGCACTGGGGGCCCTGCAGCAAACGATTCACACCAAAGCCGACGAGGGCGATCTGCAAGCGCTGGTGGAGGACCTCACGGGGCTTCGCAAACAGATGCGGGGCGAATTGTGTGTCGGGCGTTGGGTACCGTGCTATATATTGTCCTTTCAGACAAAATTTGGACTTTTGTGCTGATTTGCACAAAATTCATCGATCGATTTTTGTTTTGAATTTTGGATGAAAAAGAAAGAGGCCAGCGGAAATACCCGTCACACTAATTCAAGTCACACACAAATTAGCTGTTGATTGGTTGAACTGATGTCTTCCTGGAAGCTGATTGGCTAAATTCTACTGCCGATTCTTCTTTACATTTACTACGTAGTATTTGGTTATGTCGATGATACACTCGTATTGCTCCAGTTTTGAAGAAACCCAACAATATTTATGTATCTGATTCTGCGTCTGATTCGTCGTGGTGGTATCAGATCTGGAAAACCGGGCGACCCACGGACCGCCACACAATTGCGTGGACCGTCCAAGTGGTCAACACGAACCCGGACGTGTTTGCATGGGATAAGGGGTCTGACCACGTCACAGCGATCATCCCGGGGCTGTATCAGCTCCAAGCGAGTTTCTTCACGGACTACGCGCCGACGCTGCAAGTGTTGGTCAATGGCGAGCCCGCTTTGGTCCTATCTGGGTACGCGATAACGTCATATCGGACATGTGCAAAGCGGGGCTGAAGTATCGAGTTGTACAGGGACAAGGGCGACAGCCAAGCGCCAAACAACTGCCAGCATCAGCGGCGGCGGCGGCGGCATGCCGCGGGAAACGTGGCCGGAATCACATTGTGCGAATTTCTGGCGCTGCCTCCACGGGCCACTGTATCCATCACGTACGACATCGACGAACGGGCTCAAGGGTTCCTCACGCTGCGGAAAATGTAGTCGTCTTTGAAGTATAATAATAATTGTAACAATGTATTAATACCACTAACGTTAGGATCTCGATGGGTATGTACTGTATGTACTGTGTACATCCACTTTCACGCAAATAACGTGACGCAGACGCAGCAATTAATATTGTGCTTTCAAAGTAAATTTATAATTTTCGGTAGATTCGACGAACGACGTCAAATCCACGTGAAATCGTCGAGTTTTCATTTTACTTGAACTAAATATATTAATACTCACTGTCTGTCCAATGCAATGTTGAACACTTTGTGAAACCGAATACACCCACATGCAATATGATTGGTCGAAAGTTTTTTTTCGAAAATTTCATTGGCTACTTCAGTCCGTCGATTCGATTGGCAGCCCCTGTCCATTTTGACATCGAAGTATTACCAATATTCGGTCGAAATAAGCGGCAACTTTTCGCTATTAATAACAATTCTTTACGCGACCAACGGACATATCCATTTGCTGCATCCTCAGCGCGAATAAATGCCATTCACGTTATTGTGAATTCGCTATAAACTTCCAAAATTCGCCTGTCCAAATTGAATCACGCCGGAAGTTGTGATTGGCTGAATATGCTTGTCCTTTCTGCACGAGCGAATCAAATCCACTAAAAAATGGATTAGCCAATAGCGTCGATTCGTGATTCGATTCGGCGGCGAGATTCGGTCTGGAAATTCATTTCGAATAACAATAATTGTTGCACATCTCAACATTACGTGACTGTCGGCACTCGTGTGCCAGGCGAAATCCGTCGACGCCGTGCTCGAGCTTATCGGATATCCCCCTGGCCCCCGAGTATACTATACTGTACCCCCCCCCCCGACGTGCTGAGTTCAAGATTCAACACCATCGCATGCCAGAGATGCTGCCAAAATGGGCAAGAGATGGAGCTATTTGGAAGTTAAAGTGACGGTGGTGGTGGGTGGGGGGTGAAGCGTTCGAAGCTACGGTGAGACGACAGAGGCCATGGGGTTGAAGTCTTCGCGGCAATTGAATTGTAGTGTCCAATTGATGATTTTAGAGTAAGTTAGTATTACAAAAAGCAGTCACGTTGTACGAGATTTTAATAAACGTGTCCAATATTAATATATCTGGTTGATGGAAATACATAGAATCAAATAGTTGTGTATCGCAAACCACCTTGCACTAGGACATGCGAATGCTTATCCCGACAAAGCAACGCCTAATGTGGGCTGACTCGAACAGACAGACTGGTAGTTGCCATACCCGTGCGCGTTTACCACAGGAACACGGTGGACATCTCGCTGGTGTTAAAGCCATCGATCGCGATATCGTCCTTGATTAACACGATGGACATCTCGCTGGTGTGCGATATCGTCCTTGATTCTCTAGTGGCACGATGCAGCTGTGTATTTACAAAGGGCAATCGTAGTACTGGTCATGTTACCAGCATTAGTATCACGCCCACTTTTGGGTAATCGCGGCACCGAGAAGGCCCGCCGCCTCCAGGGTGGCTTGCATATCGGTGATGGGTTTCGGCGGGAACCCGGCCAGAAGGACGTACGACTGCGTGGCCGCGCCTTCTCGGCGGAGGATGGCGTGGAGGTCCTGGACGGTGTGCGTCGTGTTGAGCGTCTCTCGCACTCGGCTGCCGTTGGCAAGTCGGATTTGGACAACGGTGGTGGGTTGGGTTGTATCCACTGGCTTGAGCGTAGCGGAAGTGTCAACGTCTCGGACGATCGCACTGGCGTCGACCTAGGAGGACGATGAGCATGCCTCGCTCAGAACTGCATCGAGTGATGATGTACCGGGGATGCACCCATGGATTGCCCTGCTCCGGCAAACGCTTCGTACTGGGGCTTGGGTTTGCCTTGATACTGCTCGTGGCGCTTGTCCACGAGCGAGATGTCGACATGCTCGCCTCGCTGGTGCAATGCTTCCAGCTCCCGTGGAACGTGGCCGCGTTCGATGGCGCTGAGGAACTCGCGGTTGCTCTCGTCATCGCGGCGCCGGTACTCTCCTTCGTCCACCGTGAATCCTTCCGCGTAAAACGTAATCACATGCGCGGGAATGACCGCGGCACCACTTGTACTGCTGCCTTCTGCAGCTTCACGGCCTTGTTGTTGGGCGCGGGAGATGATGTTGTCTACGTTCGGGTTGCCACCTGCCGCGCCTGTGGGGTTGCCGTAGACGCTCAACCCGCTCCCGCCGCCATGCGAGGACGTGCCTCCAGTGTAATACGCCTGTTTTTCTTCATCGTCGTCCTTCTGCTCGTCCCGCATGCGGCCAAACCCAAAGACGTTTGCCATGATGTTTGTGATTGATTCCACGTTGGGAGTCTGCGGCTGGAAGTTCTTTCAACGGTATTACGAAAAGCAAACCACGGTTAGATCCTAATATGCCGTTGTCAATATATCGTAAACGATAAACATTTCCGTATATGTTTTCTCACAGGAGAATTTCGGGATTTGTTCCTGTTGGTGTATCGACTTGATATTTGTGCTGAAACCAATATTCCTTGGATACCGAAATGCCCATAGTATGTATATTGTACGTCATATATTGAACTTTAGTAAATTTGAAATTGCCTGTTTGTATATGTCCGAAGATTTCATGGAAACCCCGCGAAAACGCACATTTTGATCCCTCAGATGGACGACACTCGAGTGCGCCGCGCGACGGCCGACGAACATGAAGTCCTCGAAGAGTTTCTCCGCTCGACATACGTGGAAAATGGCATGGCGTTCCCGTTCCTGGAGCATTCCAAGCAAGATGCTTGGATGTACGTTGCTGAAGACAGCCATGGCGACACGATAGCAGCAGCCAGCGCGGTCTGGGATGCGTCGACGTCTACAGTGACGCTAGAACATTTTGCCGTGGCCTCTCCTTGCCGACACCGAGGTAGACAGGATTGTTTGGCATGAATATCCTTGACACTTCTGAGCTGTACAGGCATGGGATCCCAACTTCTCGCCGAGGTGGACTCGTTGGTGCAGCTCGACATCCCATCATGCATATACCTGTCGTTTGTCGCGACCGCTTCGCCCATGATAGAAGCATGGGCACAAAGTCGCTCCTTCCGCGAAGTGTCTGGTGGTTTCTTGCCGCATTCGTCATCTCGTTACGTCGTGTACCGCGTACGTCGTCGTCTCACTTCGTCGGACGATGTTGCCGATAATGACCCTCCGTTGGTTCATGTTGCAGAAACACTTGCTCGCGTCACCAACGAACGCCAAGGAATCCCATGATATCATGGGCGACTTCCTGGCCCAAGCGATGGAGGACGACGACGTTGCGACCCCCACGTCCGACGACGACCCGCACCACATGGACACATCCCTACTTCAATCCAAGAACGACCTGTTTGCATCCCTCTTATCCAACGTACCCACCTACCATCCATTCCTTCAGTGACCTCTCATGATAGATTCCACTGGGGAAGCTACAAGCTATGGCAACTTCCCTCGACGTGGATGCCGCCGCTGTCTCCATCAAGGCCCAGGACAACACGACCATGTCTGGCAATGCTGCTTTCGACATTGACGACAGCAGTAGCACCACTGCGACACGGTTATCCGTCCCTGGAATCAACCAACATGACCCGTCATTGGACTCGCTTGTGCGATTACTCATGCATCAACTCCAAGACCCAGCGCAGCGCGGCCCCCTCTTTAACGGCAACTCGACGACGATCTTCTCAAACCACGGCGTGGCCCATTCTACCCACACCCCCCCCGTTGATGTCCCAGCTATCGCTTTCGATACGTAGCCTCCACGTTACTAAGGACATATTTCCAGTAGCCACTCAGGTGTCGACCTCATGCCCTAACGACGACGATGGACGCATATCGGAGGACCACAACATGCAAAATGAATGCAAAGTCTTGAATGCGATATATATACATGTATTGTCGATTTGATACAAATTTGGGGAGGGGGTGCAATCGAATCGCGCCGACCAAACCGATCCACAATCGATCTGATTGGTTGTTAAATTTCATTGAAAAGGTTTTGATTGGCTAATAAGTTTGAGCTCATCTGAGAGGTAGCCAATCAAATCGATTTAAATTTGAACGAGAAACCACAACACGAAATTTCACTCGAAAGCACAATATTGACGACCACAGTGTCGCAAATGTCAATTATAATAGGATTTCTCGCTTTTTTTAATTTTTTACAAAAAGAATGTTTAATTATGTATTATATGTATCTAGTATTAAGTATGTATAGTTAATCCTAAATGTTCTACAGGAAAAGGATAATTATTTTTAGTCAATCAGTCCCCTTGTTACAGGAAATCCTTCAAGTATACACGAGGCTGTGATTCGTCGGGGTTGTCTGAGATACAGTATCGCGCTATTGTGCGTTCGAGTGAAATTTCGTATTGTGGTGTGGTTTCTCGTTGTGGAATGTAAATCGATTTGATTGGCTACCTCTCAGATGAGCTCAAAATTATTAGCCAATCAAAACCTTTTCAATGAAATTTAACAACCAATCAGATCGATTGTGGATCGGTTTGGTCGATTGCACCCCGTCGTGGTTACAGTACAGTACTTTTCCAAAAAGCACCTCCCCAAGTTTGTATCAAATCGACAATACAATACAACCCTCGACACTATGTCACCCCCTTGAGCAGTCAAAACCAACGTGGTGGCAAACATATTTGTGTGACAGGTCGACGACGTTCTTCGAGTTTTTAAATACGAATCTAACTCACAAGAAATGTTGCACACTCACAAGAAATGTTGCATGACTGCACGGAGGCCATACATGAGTCCGGCTTGCTTGCGCGCCTCTGCGGCCAACAGCGTGACGTGGCACTTCTCAGACGCAGTCAGCGTGTGGCTGAAATGCTCAAAGTCTTTCACCGTAACCCGCCATGGAGTGCACGCAACTTTTTTCACAAAATGTTTGGTCGGCCGGTTGAGGTAGATGTTGACGTTGCGGTAATCGTAGTCGTCGTGGCAGATGCCGTAGATACGGTGCACATAGTACCATATCGCATGGCGGAACGGCGTCGTGTCGACCTCGGACTTCTTTTCGTCATCGTCTTCTTGATTGGCGGCGGCGGCTTTGTCCGCTGTCTCCTGGCCGTCTTCTTCCTGATTTGGATGGTGGTTGGCAGCACGACTTGTAGTAGTAGTATTACTAGCCTGATCTTGACCATACGTGCGGTACGTCAACTTCATTGTGAGTTTGAACAAGTCCTCCAAGATGGCTCCCTAGGCGACATATATCCGATATTGCAATCATCATATATTGTCAAGTCGAAATTGGAGTTTTGGGTTCGCAATCGAATGAGCAGAATCACCAAATCGGCAGAGAATCGATCGACCAATCAAAACCGAGAACAGTCATCAACGACCCAATCAAATTATCCACTCGTCGATCAAATTAACATCGAATTCGTGTGTGATTGAAATTCGTGTGATACTGGACGATCTATCTTTACATGCAAATTTCAGTATAAAGAATCGATATATGATTTGGCGAATCAGCACAAATGTCCAAATTTTGGGTAAAGAAAAATATCACTTCACCACAACCCCCCCCCCCGATTCGTTGTCGATCCAACTACACTACTGTACGTACCCCCGGGCCAGGAAAGTATCGACTGACCAGTGAAAAGCAGTGCTCGTCCCAGGAGAAGTCCTCCGTGTGCAGCACGTTGTACTCTGCCGACCGCACGTCGAAATCCACATACTCGTCAATGGTTTCGCTGCAGTATCGCCACATGTCGCCCTTGAGCGGCACGACCGTCTCCATCGAGTCGCCGCGACTGCGATGATGGGTACTTTGCCGTAGTCGACGATGATGGGCACTTTGCCGTCCGCCGCCATGTCCTACACCGCAAGCATATATATCATCATGGGAAGAAGTAGTAAGTACCTCAATATGTAACGAGTTGGTTACCAGACAAGGGGGCTGCGGCCAAGTCAAACGGAGCTTCCCCGTCCATCTCTAGGCTTTCGTCGTCCCCACTGCTGATGCTGCTGCAGCTGCTATCGTCGTCGTCACCATCGTCGTCACCAGATCCTGGGGGAACCACCTCGAGGCGAGCCCGGAGCTCGGCTTCCTCCACTTCCATCCGCGCCACGTCGTATTCGGGCCCCCCCGTGCTGCTGCACTCGCTCCTGCGGTCGCTGAGGTTGCTGCTCTTCCGCCGACTGCGCATCGTCGGCACAAACATGGCTGAGCTTGAGAGAAGCGTCAAATCTGCCTCGTCCACACAGCCCAGACCCAGCGCAATGCTCGACATGGAGTGAAACATGCACATAACAATGATCGCATGCACTAGCTCAGACACGGACCACGACGACGACGACCCTCCGTCGCGGTCGGTGGTCGTCTGCAGCTACGCAAACACACGCAATCAATATTAATATACCACGTCAAACGAAGATTACTCAAAGGTCCTTTCAACTCTACAACGAATTTTATATATATATATGCATTAATATACCACGTCAAAAAGAAGATTACTCAAAGGTCCTTTCGACTCTACAACGAATATAAATATATATATTAATATACCACGTCAAAAAGAAGATTACTCTAACTATAAGGCCCTTTCGACTCTACAACGAATATAAATATATATGGACTCTAAACACTCGGAGTAGCATTCCCATAACACACACAGCCTGTAAGAACTGAACCACCTCGAGTTCTTTTTATTAGTATTTACGAATAATAAAATTATGTTTTCTAAATATATTTAAATAATTTTTATATAAATAAACATAATTTATTCAAATGAAATAGATTTGATAAATCTGTTCAAAACATATTCATTGGTTTGATGGTTTATACTTCAAGATGAATAAGTTGTCCGTAAATTAGTGTGCATGATTATATATATATATAATAATATATAATGGTATACCGAGAAATAACACAAGGAACGGAAAATTTATATATATCATTCAGTCTACCAAAGTCGATACAGAACGCCTCGGCCACAACTCTGCCCATGTCGTCAATGATAGACATCACTTACTAGGAACGTGATCGATGATGGATATAGATAGCACTGACTTGTCGTCCATAATATTATAGATTTCCTAAAGAAAACTATTTCTTTGTGAAAATAATAGTATAACACAAGGTGAATGAATGTCTTCAACTAAACAAGCCGACAAAAATATCAACAAGTACATCATATGGACGAAATGGTACTGCAATTTGAAGATTGACTATGGAGAATGAAAGACTAGTGTAGTACAAAAAAAAATATAATATATATATATATACCAAGGACGCGACGTCGTCGGAAGTGACGAGCCATGGCTGGTGGGCCAGCAACGCGTTCAAACTGTGCAGGCGCGCAAGTTTCGATGGCACATAATCCAAACCATCAAGCCACGTGGCGTCGCCGCCGTTGATGAGAAAGTAATGCTGATGCAAAATGCTCACGTAATGGCACCGGTACTCGGACGCGGCCATGAGTGCAATGTAGTTGCGCCATTCCAAAGGCAGAGGGCCATCTATAAAGCCGCCCAAAGCATCACAATGCAAACGTTTATGACACTGTCGCATGTAGAAAAGAGAGACTGACGCACCGCTGAGCATGATGGATGTGATCAAGCCTCGATGGAGCTACATACATTCATACACATAGGGAGAGAATTGGTGAGTAGGACAACGTGGGATCCCTATCGCGTATGTATGCATGTATGGTGTACCTTGAGGTATGAGGTGTGCCATGCCAACATGCGGGTGAGATGGGAGACACGGCCGGACTGGAGGAAGCACTTGACAAAGATCGCGGCAACGTCGGGGTCGTGCGTGGCAGTCACGTCGACAATCTCCCGCTCGTCCATGTAGTAGGACACGGGCGTGTCGTCGTGCGCGTCGTGGGGGGTGTTGAGTTCGTCGAGGATGTCAAGGCAGCCGGCGCGGACGTCCGGGAGCGGCGCATCGCGCGCCAGACGGCGCAGACTCGGCACATGGACGTCGAGCACATGCGGCTCCATCTCGAGCAACTCGACGCGGATCTTTTGAATCGACGCGGCGCGCTGGCGCACGTCCGAGCTCAGAAGGCGCCGGAAAAACCATTCCTTCCGCGCAGCTACATGCTCGTCTCCACGGGAAGCATACATGATGAGAAGCGGCACCTGTTGTTGTATCGTGTCCACTCCTTGCTGTGCGCTTGGCAGTGGCGGTAAGTCGATTAGTACTATTTCGGTCAGCCTTTGACAATGGGCACTTGCACCACGTGGTGGCAGTAATTTAATTTCTTCTGGTGCGTGTGTCTGGGGGTTTGTATCGCTCCGTCCACAATTTTATTCTATGTAGAGCCATGTGGCACCGTTCTAACGGGTGAGAGCCGATCTCACTCTCACTCGCCACCACCGAGCGGAGTCGAGCCCGCCGTGACCTGAATGACCTTTGCCTATATCGCTGTGCTAAACACGGTGAAATTGACACATCACGATGGAGCTTGCTACAAGCGTACCTCAACTTCGCATGAAAGGATAGGCCACTCTCTTAGCCACTCTCATGAGAGTGTAATATGTGACAGCCACCCAATCATGTTGCACTGTCGCTGCCACGACGCTATAGAGGTGCCAATCGTGTTTGAAAGTGCCGTCGTGTCGGCTATACGCTGACGATATTTGCAGCGCCAGGTACTAGTACTAGTACTGTTACTAGGCAGAAACTGCTTCGAAGTGCATTTTTTACATAGACTCACCATCGAAATCTGCGATCGTAGCCGTTGCAAATGTACAGTACTTTATGGTGTACATTGCACTTTGCTGTGGCTACACCGTGCAACTTCAACTTGAAGTTCTGGCTACACAATTTACGTCGTTCTCGGCATGCTGGTCCCAAGCGGCCACGTCATCCTTCGACTCATCGAGTGTATAATACTGTACTACAATCGTCTTGCACTTACCAAGTTGTATACACTGTGGATGGGGTTGATATGAAACTGTCGAGTGCGTTGACGACTGTTCGTCGCAATATCTGTGGCTGTTGACCACGATGCTTGGAACGTTTGAACCCGTGATGCCTTACGACTTTGCCGTGGACGAAGTGCTCGTGACTGCAAAGTATCAGCGCGCATCGAAGCTGGTAACGTCGGTATTCAACAAGTACCACAACGGATCCCATCGCGCCGTGGATACGGTGGTTGTGTCGGCCCTTTTGCAGGAGGAAGACGCGCTGTTTGGCCTGCAATGCCTCGTCGAACAAGGCCCAGCCGCGATCTGCCGAGAGCGCAAAGAGTCGGAGGTTCGAACGATCACGAGCCAAACCACCATCAACGCTGTCCAAGGTGATTGCACTCCAATAGAATGTTCACGGTAACGGTGGAACATAGGCAGCTGGTTCCCGACTCTGACGTTGTGTGGAGGACTCTTGGGCACGCCAAATACAATCATGTTTGTGCCTCATCTACGTAGCATCTTGTCCAACCATAACCTGTGATATATACCGTAGGCGGAAATGGGATATGCTGGGCGACATCAGCAAACTCACTGCCATGCAAGAGTACATTGAACTGCTCAACACGTTGCTTCCTGGCTGGGATGACCAGTCCGAGTTTCCCGTTTCCCTTCCAGTATACACTAGAATTTTGACAGCAATTCAACTCACCACGATGTTAAATGGACTTTCAGGATCACTTTTGGAAGCAAGACGCGGCGGCGATCGCGTGTGCATCGTGTCACACTCCCTTTTCGATGCAACTTCGTCGCCATCACGTACGTCTACCACGTCACAACTCACCCACTGACAACCATCACCTTATTTGGTTAGTGTCGAATGTGCTTTGATATCTATTGCCATCCCTGTTCTCCGTTCGTGGTGGACCTTCAACTGTCCGCGGGTGCCCCTGCGCGTCCTGCGCGGGTATGTGCCACATGCAAAGCAGCGATCGACAACGACAAAGGTATAACCACTGTCGTCGTCACCTTGCACTGTCCTGTGGTGTGTTCTGGAAAGGCTTGCTGGAAGTGCGTCGTCTGCTCCATGAAAACCGAGAGCTCAAAGTTCGCATTCAAACGATTGCCCAAGATACCGACACGACTGTGAACGCCCAGTTGGCCGTGGCGGCGACGCTTCGCACCGATGCCATCGCCCAAGGTTCGTGGTGCTGCTACTGATCCAATTGGTTTACATGCCCTTGTTTACAAGCGAATGACATTTGTAGGATGCAACATGCTTGCCGTCGACAAGTCGATTCAAAGCAAATGGCGAGAGGACGACAATCCAGCGCTCGACTTGCACGTCAAGACGCCGCCGGCCCATAAATTCCGCGTATGTTTATCGTGTGATGATTTGACATCACATGTATATGTATGACGACAAGGGGAACAGATGGATCCAATTTTGTCTTCAACAATGTTGATGCCAACCCACCGTGTTTTGTGTGTGTGTTGTTGTAGCCAAGTGAATCTGTGGAAGCCAGCGAGCAGTTGCGCGTGGCCAACCGCCAACTAGTCATGTGCCTCAAGGTCGCTGAGACGAGGGCGAAAAAAGCGCTCGACAAAGTCGAAATCACCACCGCCGTGTTGCAAGAGGTACGTGAAGTCGGACGCTTCGTTGTGGGGCTTCGAGTGACGTGGCGACATACATGTCGTTGCATACTTTGTATTGAATGGAATGAGTTGAGAGCATTCGACTAGGCGATTCAAAACCAACGAAAGCCATGGCGACCCATCGCCCGCCTCATCGTACCTTTCTTGACTGTCGTCGACATCAAGCGTCTTGCCCAAGTACTTCCATCCTTGGCTTCATATGGCCCTTCAATGTGTTTGATATCGCTTCTATATGGTCACCATCGATAAACCGTTAGACCGCTCGTCCATTCCAGGCCTACATAGCCACGCTCGATCTAGAACGTGAATCGTGCATCCGATTGGGGTTCCCCGTGCACTTTCGGTACTCCCCCCCCAATGATTATTCCTACTGTACTTGATGCCATTCATCCAATACTTCAACCCCCCCTGTCCCCCCTAGTCCTCAATTTTGGATGTGGCGGGCCTGCCATGACCCAGACACGCACAAATACGTGTGCGATTTGGCCGAGGCCGTCACGTCGCATCTTGGGGGCGCCAGCGCTGCGGACGAAGACTCTGACGAAGCACTGCATTGGTCGTCGATCATGCTCAAGGCTTCACCAACGTGGTCGGAAGCGTATGCGCTCGTGGTGGCCAAGTGCGGAGAGAACGGGTGCCTCGAGCACGACAAGCAGATCCTAGCAGATGTTGACCGAACGTTTGGCCGATCCTCGCTTCGAAAGCAAGCGCGCAAGGTGCCTGTACGAATGATAATGCAAAGTCTATGCTTGGAATAGCAGACGATCGATCGTGATCAAAAAGTTTCTTGACATGCGAATATGAACTAGCTTCATGTCAGTGTGACCGACGTCGACGAGAAGAAACTCGCGCTGGCCCGCGTCCTCCGCGCGTTCACCGCCACCCACACGACCATGGGGTATTGCCAAGGCATGGTACCGAGTTTACTGTCCCTTACCGTACACCTTTTTTTTCAACGAACTTGGTAGAATTTCTTGACGGCGTTCATGCTGTCCAACGTACAATGGAACGAAGCGCAGGCGTTCTGGTTGGTGACGGCCATCGCCGTGTCGCCGCAGTATCAACTCATGGAGCTGTATCGCCCGGGCGTGCCGCTGCTCAACCTCCGCTTCTACCAGGTACTTCGGCGACGACGACGACAGCGTAGTGTATCACGTGTGTCGACTTGTCGCGGTCCACATCGTAGTTACATTCGATGGTCCAACAACTCTTGCCCGATTTGCACGCCCACTTTGAAGCCGAGGATTTCCACGTAAGCATGTGTGCGTCCGGGTATAGTAGTCCAACACATATGATATACACGGTCGTGGGTTCGTCATCTTCTCAATATGGTGTCTAGATGGTTCATGACGCTGTTCACCAACTGCGACACGCTGCCAGCCGACGCCGTCGTGCGCGTCCTCGACTGCTTCCTCGTATACGGATGGAAAATTATCTTTCAAGTGGCGTTGGCCTTGCTCCAGTTTCTGCAAGTACGTGCATTTCGTTGATATTATAACATCAACAGATTTGATATTCTAATATCCCCAAACCTGTGCAATATGTATAATGGAGGCTTT